ATTTTTCATTTGAATTTTTCAAATAATGTCTAAAATATATATATTTATATTACGAACTTTATTAGCCATGTTAGGTCCAATGCTAACAAATAAATTATTAAACATATCTTACATTTCAGTACTATTGGTTAGTGTGTTAGTACTTATTAATCGGTTTTTTAATGATGTAGTATACTTACTTTTGATTTTAATAATGTTGTGTATAATCAGCTAAATATTTTCTTAATACTTGTGTTAATAGTTAGATTTTTTTTATAATACTTACATCGAACAGTTTCTTTGATGTTTGATAACTTACTAGAACATATTTAAACATGGTTTTATTCCATTCATTTCCATGTAAATAATAAATTCTATACATAGAACTTTTATTATATGTTGATTTTAGAATACCGGATGTAATCCAAGGCTTGCTTATTAATTTAATTCGTTTTTGTGATAATGCTTCAATGTAATATATGTAATATGTAATATTTTACTTTCAAGAATTTTACATACATCATAATATGCTGTATTTCAGCATCAGAATATTCTATACGTTGGTTAGGATGTCTATATATATATCACATCAACCATAATGTTCTTTCTACAGCCAGATGATTCTATTTATCTTCACAGATCTTTACAGCTATCTAGGTCAGTATATATATATACCAACACCACCAGCACTTGTAAGAAAATCATTATATAAATGTATAACTAGGAATGTCAATATTATAATATTAATCTCCATTAAGCTTAGTTTCAGAAATGACTATAAAGGTAAGTAAAACAGACACATTTGTGACAAATTATTCTATGTAATTTTTTGTCGTGCTATAAATTGAAAATAAGCATTAAACAGTGATGCAGACAAAATCTGAATATAATACGAAGAATTAAATTGTGGCGAAATGCAACAAGTTCTTCAAATACCTATAGAATGACAGGTTTCTTTTTTGTGAGTGGAAAACACTTAAATACACCAGTTCGAAAATCTGAATATGTTTAACCCTTTCCTTCCGTCTGTTTCCTATTATATTGTGTAAATACCTCGTCTATATACGGTACCTGTTTAAACTGGGTTCGTTCATCAGCAGCATTATTATTTTTAAGAAACTTTATACAATACCAATAAAAACGTTTGTTGGTAAACATATTGGTAAACTAATTTGGTAGGGTTGGGTTCCTGTAACACGAGTTTTCTACAATAAAGAGATATATTAACTTTTAACTGTTGTGTTTACGTAACTAAGGTTTTGTATGGCATAGTGATGAAAAAATTGCTAATGTTGGTTTCCCTTAACAAGAGTTTTTTACAATACAGTGGCATACCAACGTTAAAGTGTTATGTTTATGTAACACGGGTTTTGTATAACATAGTGATAAAATAACTTGGTTGCGTTGGGTTCCCATAACACGAGTTTTCTATAGTACAGTGGTACATATATTAACTTCAAAATGTTATATTTACGTAATATGGGTTTTTGTACAGTAAAGTGGAATGTTAATTTCATTATTTTTGGGCTTCCGTTACAGTAGTTTATCTAGAATTGTGGTATACTACTTTAATAGTGTTGTGTTCTCCTAAGGATATCTTCTGTAGAGTAAAGTAGTATACAAACTTGGTACTGTTATATTATCACAAAAGCAATTTCTGTACAGAAGAGTGGTTGTACTAACCTTGTAATACTATGTTTCCATAACACTAGATTTGTGCAGTAGAATGATATATAGACTGACAATAGTCTTGTGTTCCCATAACAACATTTTCTGTATTAACTTGGAAGTGTTGTATTCCCGTAACTTTTGTAAAGCAAAGTTGTATAATAACTTGGTGTCGTTGTATTACAGTAGTTTGTGTACAGTAAAGTGGTATACCATCTTGGTAGTGTTGTGTTTCCGTAACAATAATTTTTATACAGCAGAGCAGTATACTAAATTTGTAGTGTTCCCGTAACAGTAGCTTTTGTAACACAGAGTGGTATGCCATCTTGGTAATATTGTATTGTGTTCCCGTAACAGTAGCTTTTGTAACACAGAGTGGTATATCATCTTGGTAATATTGTATTCCCGTAATACTAGTTTTTGTACAGCAGAGTTGTATACTAACCTGATGTTGTTGCGTTTCCATAACAGTAGATTTTGCACAGCAGAGTGGTGTACCATCTTGGTAGTGTTGTGTTTCCATAACAGTAGTTTTTGTAAAGCAGAGTTGTATACTAGCGTGGCGGTGTTGTGTTCACGTAACAATATTTTTTTTTACAGTAGAGTGGTATACCATCTTGGTAGTGTTGTGTTCACGTAACAGTAGTTTCTGTAAAGCAACGTGGTATACTAACTTGGTGCTGTGTTCCCATTACAGTAGTTTTTCTACACCAGAGCGGTACACTAACTTCATTGTTTCCCGAAACAGTAGTTTTTCTACAGCAAAGTGGTATATCATCTTGGTAGTGTTCTGTTCCCATAATATTAGATTTTGTACAGCAGAGTGGTATACTAACTTGGTGCTGTGTTCCCATTACAGTAGTTTTTCTACACCAGAGCGGTACACTAACTTCATTGTTTCCCATAACAATAGTTTTTGTAGAGCAGCGTGGTATACTAACTTGGTGTTGTTGTGTCCCCCTAATAGTAGTTTATGTACAGCAGAGTGGTATACCATCTTGGTAGTGTTGTTTTCTCATGACAGTGGTTTTGTAAAGCAGACTTGTGTAATAATTTGGTGGTGTTGTATTCCCGTAACAATTGTTTTTGTACAGCAGAGTGGTATACCATCTTGGTAGTGTTGTGTTCCCATAACAGTAGTTTCTGTAAAGCAGAGTAGTATGTTAACTTGCTACAGTTGTGTTTCCATAACGGTAGTTTTTGTACAGCAGAGTGGTATACTAACTTGGTGGTGTTGTGTTCCTCTAACAGTAGTCTTTGTATACTAGATTGGTTGTGTTGTGTTTCCGTAACACGTGTTAACGAGTGTTATAGCTACAGTATAGTAGTATTTTAAATTTCTAATGCTTTGTTTCGGTTACACAAATTTGCAAATGATACTGTTATACTAATTTAGTAGCTCTGTGTTCTATTTCTTGCTTTGATCTAAGTGTACCTCTTTTCCACTATGATATAATTGAACATAGTTGTCCAAGAAAGTAATTGTTAATGATAGGCGTACATATTTCGCTTATAGTGCGTTTACGCTACGAACTGTCCAAGGTTTTATCATTTTTGAAACAGCTGGGATAGTTGAATATGAAGCGTGAAATTCAACAAAATCTAAGATTCCATTCAGAACGTTAACAATGTGTTCTTACTGTCTTCTCAATACCCAATAATTAACAATGTGTTCTTACTGTCTTCTCGGTGACAATACCCAATAATTAACAATGTGTTCTTACTGTCTTCTCAATACCCAATAATTAACAATGTGTTCTTACTGTCTTCTCAATACCCAATAATGTTTACCTGCGAGGTAAATCTTTGCTGTGGTTTTTTTCTATATCATTTAAATAGTCGTTTCTTGCTTTGTAAACCTTCGGGGTTCTTACACACTAAATGTAGTTTTAATTTGTCATATATAGGTTCAGATAAGTAGATCGCAAGAGAATATTTACAAGTTAATAAATTTATAAGTAAAATTAAAAATCAGGCGAAATACATGTTTTGTTATTTTCTTTACATTTTCACAACTAAAGCTTTATTGACATTGATCTTATCTTCTGGTTAAGAGCTGGTTTTTAAAGTTATGGCATTATTCCCTGGAACGAAGAATGACATGGAAGAAACTAAAGGTGAACGCAGGATCACTTTCGTTTAGACAGTTGGCGTTAATTTTACTGGTGTAGTAGGTTTTAGCGTTACAATATTATTTTATTCAACTGCAGAGTCATCTAGTGGTTGATGCAACATATCCCTGGTTGCACTTCGGGTACGTTAACTCATATATCACTAGCGAGGTTTCTCATAGGATGTTGTTGTCTTTAAAGTTGAAAACCATTTTAACTTAGACTTTATTTGAAATGCTCATTTTAACTAATTTTTGGTTAAATATTTGATAATTTTCTTGTTAATAATGTATGAAATAGCGCCTAAGTAGGGTATGACTAAAGTAACAGTTTTCTCAGGAATATCTAACATGAACTTTCAGATTTGAAAATGGACTTTTCTATTTAGGAATGAAAACGGAAAACAATTTATTCTAAATATTTGTTTAATGTTTTCTATTTCTGTCATGGTTTACTAGATAGTTTACCTTATATGTAGCCACGCTTCATCACATACTTATTTACCCTAACTTGTCCAATATTTGACATCGTAATAATTATTTTATAATTTATGTGGGCTTTAAGGATTCCTACATGAAAAATCTTCACAGATACATGTGATGTTGTGTCTATCAACAGGCTTTTACTCGGGAATAATTTCACCTTAGAATGTTAGAATATCTTACCATTAAGTTACAGAACTAGCTCTTAACCAGAAGTTGAGAGACTACCACTACATCTTCATCTGTGAAAATGTATGAAAAAAAGACAAAACATATATTTCGATCATTGAATTTGAGGAAGACTTAAAACTTAAAATTAACAAAGAAAAAGGCCCGGCATGGTCGGGTGGTTAGGGCGCTCGGGTCGCAATCTGCGGGTCGCGGGTTCGAATCCCCGTCCCACCAAACATGCTCGCTCTTTCAGCCGTGGGAGCGTTATAATGTGACGGTTAATTCCACTATTCGTTGGTAAAAGAATAGCCCAAGAGTTGGCGGTGGGTGGTGATGACTAGCTGCCTTCCTTCTAGTCTTACACTGCTAAATTAGGGACGGCTAGCGCAGATAGCCCTCGTGTAGCTTTGCACGAAATTCAAAAACAAACAAGAAGGAAAAAATAAAAAAGTGTTTTTCCTTTATCTTCTTTGTCATGCCTCGAGGAGCGTCCTGCAAGAACTACATGTTTTTTGTAATAAATGCATTACTTTGTAAAATTGAACATTGTTATTAAATTCAAATTATTTTTTTCTTCTTTTTCCTCTAGGTGATTCTTGTTCCAAAAGAACATCTGTGTCAACACTGAATCTTGTATCTCCGGTTCTTTTTCCATCAGCCTCAATGAAAACTCAATCTGTTTATATCTTACCTGCAGGTAATATCAGTGCAAAGATACGTACATCTTATAAAGTTCACATAAACGAAAAGAAAAAAGTGATTTTACTGTCGTACCTACGCAGTGGTAGCACATTCCTTGGGGAAATGTTCAACCAACATCCATCCGTATTTTATTACTTCGAACCTTTGTATCTTCTGGATCACCCAGGAGCTTATAGTGGTATCCAGCCCTTATTTCGTAGCAAAGTTCCGAAGGCATTGAAGTTACTCAACCGTATTTTGGATTGCAAGATATCTAAGAACAATGGATTGATTAATGATGACCTTGCTTTCAGAAGCAAGGCTTTAAGAGAAATATACGATACGCCTGCGTGTAACAGCACATTAACACGCTGTTTAGACAAGGCTTGCGAACAAAAGAATGTTTCTGTAATTAAGGTAATGCGTCTTTATTTGAACGATTTACAGCCGCTGATTGAAAGAAATGATCTCAAAGTGATCATCTTACAAAGAGATCCTCGTGCACTCTTATATTCACGACGTCGCAATAACCTCGGTGGTCGTTTAGAAATTGAAGATGACTTTCGATTACAAGCTAGAAGCTTATGTGCCCGGATGTTGCATGACGTTAAGATGGCTAAGAAGATTGCCTTTCTCACACAGAAAAATTTCTATAGGATTGTTCTTCAAGAGCACTTTGTCACAAACCCCCAAAGTATCATCAAAAGTATATTCAGGTTCTTAGAATTACCAATTACAGATAAACAAATAAAATCGCTTCTGGAAGTCTCTCACTTCCCATTCCAACAAGGAGAGGGAACTCTGTATAGATGGGATTGGAAAAAAGAAGTCCTGGCAAACGAAGTCGTCGCCATAGATAAAGTGTGTCATTATTTCTATGAAAACTCTTTTTACAAAGCAATAACAGATGGCAAAAACGTCAAAAATAAACACGATAAACGTAATTATTAATTTTAAGGTCTGTAGAGATTATAAGCAATACCATACACACACGAGCACACGCGCACACACACACATATATATACGTATATACATAACACCTTTAGACAATTAGTCCAAGAACAACAACAGAGTGATTGTTCCACAAATTAGAGAATTAACTTATAGTTGACACGAGTCTTTCAAAACATTCAATTGAGGAGGATGTGTTGTGTTTTCCTTCCTGCAGACGTTAAATGGGATTATATACATGTGCACACTGTTGGAGATAATGCACGAATAATTTAATATGTGTGTAGTAGATAACTGTTTTCACGAGAGACTCTTTATTTATATATAATATATATACGGTTGTTTTCATGAGACCCCTAATCTATGTATAATACATAAGTGTTTTCACGAGAGATTTCTACGCCATTTCCACCTCACATTCTGAGCTTCACAAGAGGCTTCTAGGCTATTCCAGCCTCGTATTTTTAAAGGTCAAGTTCACTAAAGCCTCCTACGTTAGTCGACTCATATTTTTAAAAGTCAGGTTCACTGGAGCCTCCTACATTAGTCGACTCGTATTTTTAAAGATCAGGTTCATTAGAGCCTCCTACGTTAGTCGACTCGTATTTTTAAAGGTCAGGTTCACTGGAACCTCCTACGTTAGTCGGTCGTCGTATTTTTAAAAGTCAGGTTCACTAAAGCCCCATACGCTAATCAACTCAAAATTTTAAAGGCCAGGTTCACTGGATCTTCTTACGTTAGTCCGAGTCGTATTTTTGTTGTTCAGGTTCATGAACGACGCTTACACCAGTTCCACTTTGTATGATGGGTTCACTGCAGATTCATACATCAGTATTCTTAAACGTCAGTTTGACTAAAGACTCCTACACCAACCCCACATCGTACGATTAATATTCAGCTTCATGGTAGAATCATGCAAACTGTTCCACACCGTATAGTTAATATTCAGGTTGACTGAATGACACTGATTGAAAATTACAACAAAGGTTAAGTAAACGTTCACCAAGCTATTGTTGACTGAAGTTGCTTTGTTCGCGTTCATAATGTTAATGTAAAAACTACAGTAAATGTTCATCGGACTATTGTTAACTGAAGTTGCTCTGGTAGCGTTCATAATGTTAATGTAAAGCTACAGTAAATGTTCATCGGACTATTGTTAACTGAAGTTGCTCTGGTAGCGTTCATAATGTTAATGTAAAGCTACAGTAAATGTTCATCAGACTATTGTTAACTCGTTTTGCTTCTGTGCTGCTGATGGACAGCAGTATGTCTTCGGATTTACAACACTTTAATCAGGGGATCGATTCCTTTTGAGTGACACAGCAGATGGCCCGATGTGGCTTTGCTTTAAAACACACACACACACACACACACTGTGCTGCTGATGGACAGCAGTAAATCTACGGATTTACAACACTATAATCAGGGGATCGATTCCTCTCGGGTGACACAGCAGATGGCCCGATGTGGCTTTGCTTTAAAACACACACACACACACTGTGCTGCTGAATGAAAACTACAGAGAAGCATCATTACGTGCGTTTTGCGGGCACATTGTTCAGTTAACTACCGTCATCATATATAAGTTGAAGTTCTAGTAAAAAAAAAAAAGAAAAAACTCATTTAACTTCCTGAAACAATGCTTATCATTTACTTTTAGGAAGCAATAAGTCTGTTTGTTAAACTTAACAAACTAAATCGATCAAGCCAGGGAATATAAAATACTGTTTGCAGCATTTTGTGTTTGTTTTTCAGCCAGAAACATGATTATTTTCGATCTCTAAGAACAGGATCACTAAGTAGTTACATTTGTGAATAAGAACTTTTGTGTTGATTGTTCAAAACCATATTATATGAGCATTGTTTGGTTAAAATGTTATATAACAACTATAAGATGCCGCTTTTATGTAATATACGTTCATGGAAGGACTTTTTCAATAGATTTTTTTTATTCATAGGCTGTTTTATTAAGATTTTCAAAGGTACTCGTGTATATAAGAGGGTTAAATAGATGTAGAAAATCAACTGAAGCTGTAAATAGTTGCTATATGCTTACTGCAAAGTGGTATGAGTTACGAAACTGGTTGAAATATGTTTATTTTGTGTCGCCCCCAGTAGCGGACTTACAAGGCTAGAAACCGTATTTCGACACCGTGGTGGGCAGAGCACGGATAGCCCATTGTGTAGTTTTGTGTTTAACTTCAAACAAACAAATTTATTTTGTGTTTTTCTTCCTTCATGTCTGGTTTTCGCCCAACTTCTGCAACTAGAAATAAATCACAAAGAAACATATTTATGTAAAACATTTTCTAAGAATACGACTACAGAAAATGACTCTTATTCATTTGTAAGCATTTATAATTCTACTGCTGTATTGCATCTTTTATATGGTATGAGAACGGGATAATTGTTTATCCTGGCCTTAACTGTTATTGTTATGAATTAATTATATTTTTCTTGTAGTAACTATTTTCGGTGACCCAGCTAGATTTATTTATAAATTTCCTCAATGTTTTTAATGTTCGGTATAATTTTATATATATGTATAAATATAGTATAATCTCTACGCAATTTCATTATAATCATTTATTTTATATATATAACAGTTATCTAATTTATTAATATAAGGTCATACAAATTCTCAGAGATGTCAAATACGTGGACAATTTGGCAGGAAAGTTTTTAAGGTGTAATGAGTGTATTGTTTTTAATAAAGGTATTATATTAAGTATGTACTTTTACACAAGGTATCAAAAGACGCTCCTGCCTGATATTATGTACCGTAAACATACTAGTCATACTAAGAACTGTGAGGATTAAAAGTTATAGAAATTAGCCGTTTTTTTCTTGGCTTGTCTGTTTGTATAGAAATGTCGGCACACGCACGAAACAAAAGCTTCAAAATAAATCTTTAATATTGAAATAGAATACTAGTTCAACTGCATAACTATTGATAAAAGTTTTGCGTTAAAACTAGACTTTAACCACAAATCTTAGCTAGCTCTTAACGTATTCATGAAAACTTTGTATTAACCTATAACTATAACATATCACTAGATTTTGTCCTTCCGGTGAAATATCTTGCTTTAAAATTTAGCTACAGCCACAACCTATGACTATCTATCAACGTACCGATGAAAACTTTACGTTCAGACTTAGCTCTGACCGCAACCTCCTTATAGAGCTTAACGTATTGATGAAAGCTTTGCGTTAAAACTAATTTCTAACTGCAAACTTGGATTAGTGTTTATCATGCTGATGAAAGATTTGATCTGAAAACAGACTCTAGCCATAACTTATAACTAGATCTTAACGTACTGATGAAATATTTGCGTTGAAACTAATCTCTAACCACAACCTCTGAGAAGTTTCCTGATCCTTAAATGTCCATCCATACGTTGGATCTACCAAACCAAATAAACAATTAACCTACACATTGGTTCTACCAAACTCAATAAAGGCTTAGTCCATACAATGGATCTACAAAACTAAATAAAAAGAAATATAAAGGTTATTCTGTTATTGAATTCACTGGATTAGATCGGTTTTGGGTAATTCCAATTCTCATCAGTAAACCTGAACAAGAACAAATAAAAAAAGACAACCAGGTTTCTTATAGTAGTGATTTATGAATTATATATATGGTGTTTCAGACTGACTTTTTTTTCACCATAGTAAACCTATGTTTATTTGGATATATATAGAAAATATGAAGCATGAATGTTACTAATTCATTATTCTGGATTATTCAATCACTGATAACACTGTGGGGTGGCGAAATACGACCGAAGAGATGTAATTCTCTTTTATATTAGAAAATAATGTCCACACCACTTTCTGAACTCAGCAGAAAATAAATATTTTAGTATAGGAGTAATTAAATATATTTCATATACTTCTCTGACTTTAAGTACACAAACTGATGATTCAATGGAATGCTCAACTTCATTATCTAGCTTATTTGGTGGTTACATCTTCTAGTGCAGCTCATTTCAACTTATAATAACAACAGCTAACTTAAGTTCACGTCGGTTTTAATAATCGTCCTATGGAAGACTTGGAGATGTACAATGTGGAATGACTGTCTCGAGGAAAAGTTGGACGGATTCCAAAATTCAACGCTGAAATTCAGCGTTGTCGCGTTCTGTTCTCAAAGTCTTTGTGTGTGTGTGTGTGTGTGATTGTTAACTCCCTTTGTTGCTTCAACGCTGGCTCAACAAACTCAAGGGTCTGAAGGAGTACTGAGATGGAAAAATGCAACATGGCTGTTTATATGAGAGACGTGACACTTGTGATAGGTGGCTTACAGTTTACTGTACATGTGCAAGCAGCAACGTTCTTCTTTTAAAATAAGAAAAAATAGAAACAATTATGAAAATCCAATTACGCCTGAGGAAGAGCAGTTGCTCAAAACGTTGCTAGACAAAATAAATTTTTTCAGTGTTGTGTTTTACAATATTTTATTTTGTTTATCTCTCATCATTGTGTGAATTACATTTTTTTTTTTGCCTAACGCTCGTCTTGAAAATACCAACAAATTAAAAAACAAAAACGTTCCCGATCTACAGTCAGTGTTAAACCAACTGTGACGTCATGATAGTTCCAACGATGATTAGTATCGTTGAATTTTGGAATACGCTCATAATAAAAGACAAACTGTTGAAGCCATTTTTATGCTAAGCTTTAACTGAATTATATGACCATTGGTTACTTATCTAAGTGCGCCGCGCCCTTTACACATAACATGCACTCGTGTAGGAGTCTCCCCCTAGGAATAATTTTCAAACAAAAAGTAAGACCACAATAAAAACAAAATAACGGAATGTAAGAAAAGAAAAACTTTCAAAAGCTGGCAAATAAAAAAAAACTGTATAATCGTGGAGTTTCCTTGGGGAGGGGCTTAGCCCCTGGTCTCACTTCTGTAAGAGGTGTCAGAATACTACACCCACCCAACCCGTACGTAGGTTCATTCAGTCCGTGCCGATGCCCTTGCTCTCTAT